AAAAACTTAGAGTAACTATATAATTATGCTGCCCTACCTAACTATCATATCGGCCATTTCTTCCGTGGTTCTAAAGCGCTCGTAATTAACTCTAATGACCGGGATAATGCGAGCAATATCAGCAATAAAGACCTCATAGGCTTTGTGAAGGTTCTGTAAATATTCCAAAGTAATTGAGGATTCACAGTCACGACTTCGATTCTTTATACGCCTCAGACTCTCCTCAGGAGAAACATCCAAATGAACAATAAGATTCGGCTTCTTCCTAAAAGAGAGAGTTAAAGAGGTTATTATTATTATTATTTCAATTTACATAAAGTTTGACATGTTGCTGAAAAGTGACAGGTAAGTGCGATATTCCCTTTCCTCCATTAAATTAGACTCCATCAAAACCTGTCAAGCACAATCACGAGAAAAAAATCTTTATTGATCATACCCCAGCCCCTCCCCTCACTCGTGCAAAGACAGAGTCTTCGTATATTGTCCTGTCCTGGACTCCTCCTTGTCCCTGCCAGATTATAGACTGATGCTGCTGGAAGCGACGGTTCAACAGATAAATCTGTGTAAAGGAGAAAAAGGGGAGAAAAAAAAATTAAAATGGGTGTGTTCGTGACCAGCAGCAGCTTTTTTACTTGTAAAGGGAAGCTATATCTGGCCGGGTCTTTGTAGAAATCAGCCAAATACTCGTTATCCATGACAGGCTCGTAGAAACAAGGCAGCCCCATCTTTTCAGCCAGTTTAGTAGCGAGTGTTGATTTCCCTGCTCCTATCAAGCCACTGATAGATATGAATATGTCAGAGCTGCTGTGCTTCTGATCCATAGTCAGTAGACCACTCCTGGACGAGGATTGGCCTGTACTGCAGCTTTTCGAGGCCTTCAATGACTCCTCTTCTCCTATCATTCTTTTAAAATTCACTAGCTATTTCAGTAATTATTTTTATTTTGCTTTATTTGCTAGATGTACCACGTGTTTGCGCATGCGCAGTAAACAAAGCCGGGACAAAATGGCCGACTACAAGAAAGAGCGAGAGAAAGAAAGAGGTTTATCACTAACGCCTATAATAGTGTCTCACCTATACATTCAAATCTATAGAGGGATACAGGGACCGCTCAAGATCTCCTCACAAGAAACACTCGGCCACTGAGCCTTCCAGCAAAGGAAAGAAGTCAAGAAGAAGATCCAATAGATCTTCATCCCCTCCCTCCCCCGAGTCTGCCTCTTCCTATTCCTCCTC